CAATATCACAATGCAACCATAATCAAGTAATTAATCAAATTAATTAAAATGTTAGCAAAATTGTAGATCGATAGGCATTGACATGAGTATTGTTCTATATCAGATTTTCCAATTAACACAAATATTAGAGTTCTAGAAAGCTTGAATCTAGCTTAGCATAACCAAGTTGAAAAATAGTTTTATAAAGTATTAGGCTGCCGGATTTCTCCTACTCAAAGAGGGATCTCAATAAAATTAGAACTCACAAACTAAGAACAGATTAAGGATGGTTACATTCATATTTTCTAAGCATAGATATGTTATTTATTTTAATAAAAAAAAACTAACCCAGTAGAACTATATAAAGGATCCTTTTGTAACCAAATGAAGACACATTAATTGGGAATATATATAAAGGATCCTTTATTGTAAAACTCTTTCAAGGCTAGCTAGCCACTATATATATGAATATTTATACCTGCATTCTTGGGTAAAAACCTCCTATTAACAGAAAGATCAAATTAATATGATCAAACTCAAACACTTTGCTAAAGCGAAACAGCAATTAAGCAACATTAAGAAAAGAAAAGGATCCATAAATAGCAACATCATTATTCGGTAAGGAAAAATATGATAAAAATCCAGAGATTCTGTTTGTGATAATGGTATAAAAGCACATGATTTACGATAAATAGAAAGTCCAACACAAATCAGTGGCCAGTGTAGAAACTGAAGCAAAATTTGGAAGCTGAAAGACACCGCACAAACATAAAGAAAGAACTATGGATATATTTATATTCATATATATTTTACTACCCACATACAAATATTCTATGTATGTGTATATTTAAAAAAAAATTAAACTATCTTCATTTAAACTTTTAATTATAAATTCTTTTATACATGAAACAACACATATAAGATAAGTATATTCATTCGCGCTTGACAATTGTAGTATTTCATTTGTGTAGAGCAAGACTAATATATTGAATGCAAGTAGCACAAACTACTTTCATTCATAATGAACAAAGAGTATAGATCATTGTGTGTGTGTATATAGATATATTATAGGGTAGTATCATATGACACTTATTAAAACACACTTTTGTTTTAAATAAAACATGTTTAAAAAATTAAGGGAATTGACTTGAGAGAGAATTTAGAGGAAGACAAATGTAATACAGAAGAACAATTCTTAAAGCTCAATGATAGGATAGAAATATTATATACAGCTTTACCTTTTTCAAATTTTATTTGTGAAGATTCCAATTATTTCCTTTATTCATTC